GATGCGCTTACGGGCTGTTCCTGAGCCTTTGTCCTCCTCAGCAATGGGATAAACGGATGTTCATTCTGGCGTTGCGGACCTTGCTTTTAAAAATAACCCTCTATTTCTGTGTCCGCTTGTGCGCGTCAGCCGCTGGTCATGAGAGAGCGGACAAGTGCGACTTCTTTTTTGCTGGTGCCCTTCTGGACAGGGGAGCGATGCTCGCCCTTGCACATCGCCAGCGGAAGTCCCATCCTGCCGCTCTGCCAAATAGCTGCATATCTGTGGCGATTCACCAAGCACGCTCTATAATTGCCCATGCACCAGCCTCCCCCCACCGCGCTATGCAGGTGTCTTGCCTGGAAGCGCGCGCTTGGGCAGCAAGGATTGGCTGGCCAGCACTGTGAAGAAGCAGCGCAGCCGATTCCAATCGGACATGCAGTGTCTCTTCTTGCACGGCGACGGCATCACCGCAACTACGTAATTGTGCTGGCAAAAGGGGGGGTCTGCGGAATGTGTCCTCAGTCAACTGCTGCTGGTTTTGCCTTGCGCTCTCCGCTGGTGATTGCAAGCAATCACAAACGATCCATGGACAATCACAATCCAGCGATTCTGTTGAATAGCTGGCAATTACCGCACACACTGGGACCGTTCCGCGACGATTGTTCTGTAGGTTCCAGGAACCGAGCAGTCTTGGCGTCGCCATCAGTGGTACTCGGTCCGAGATACACAATGGCTCGCTGGCTGTACAGATTGCCAGGTCTGTTTTGCATTGCTCGCTGGCGCAGCACTCGGCCAGCAATGTGTACTGCTTTGCGGCTTTTTGCTCAAGCACTCCTCCCCAAGCAAAATCTGCTCAACCAGCCTATAAATAGGAGTCGCGCATTGTTTGCTCATAAAAATATCACCGGACATTTATTTCGCGGCATCAGGCCATTGCTGCTCACAGGAGGCATCAACAACAAAAAAACGACAATATCAGCGACAGCAAAATGGGTGGACAATGCTATCCTCGAATGACACATGTAGCGCGACTGTGGGCTGTTTAGTGATGGCATGTGCTCGGGCATATATTGCATATTCACAAGAAATCAATCAAAACTGCTCAGCAGTTTCCGTTCATTATAGCCTATGCCCCCGCCCTCAGAATGGCGAGAGGTAGTTTACCGAGTTCATGTCGCTCACAAACTCCTGCGCCTCCTGCATCACCTTGTTGACGCTGCTACGGTCAAATCTGTGCATGTTGATCCAAGAGTCAGTGAGCTTTGTGGGCGGCACCAGCATCTGGCCGCCAGAGCTGATGTTCGGCGACATGGTGGTTCGCGTGGTATTGCGCTGCTTCATCATTCCTTGGCCTTGGCCAGCCTAGGGAACCACTTCCGCAGAATATGATCAGGCAGTCCAGCCAGGTTCGCCTCGGTGGTGCTGCTGGTCGAGTTGGCTGGCGGCACTGACACAAGCGACAGGCGGTTTTCGTTGCGATCCGACACTGAGAAGCTCATAGCGCGGGCGCCGCCGACACCTGCATACTGGAAGCACATGCGGTTGACGCCGAGTTGCATGGTAGAAGCCAACCTCGTCGTTGTAGTGCGGTATGGGGCTCCCCAGGCCAACCCAGTTGCCGCGTGAATCGCGGCCGTCCATTGTCATCTGGTGGCCCCAGTTCTGCCACTGCTGCCACAGACGGTCCAAGTTTGCATGGTGCAGCATGAAGATGAAGTCGTTAGGGCTCCAGTACGTGCTCATGTCGCCGCCAATGCCCAGGTGCACGCTGCCGTGGATGGTGAACTCGATATGCTGGCGGAAGCTGTTCATCGAGCCGTCGCGCTGCATCACCGAGTAGATGTACTCGGGCGAGTACCAAGGCTGGATGCCGCCGCCGCGGTCAAAAGCGCGCGATAGGCAGTGGTTGTTGGGAACGATAGCGTCCATCCTTGGTGCACGCCATTAGGCACACACCCGCCGAACCCGTTACCGCCCATGAGCTGCGGATAGAACACGGGCGATCCGGCGGGGTTGCGGTAGTCTCTAAGGACGTCCCAGTATGGAACAGCAAAAGCCGCCGTCATAGCGCTGGCCGATCTCTTCAAAGTCGCGAAGGAACCGGCGGTGCCAAGGGAAGAACATGTCGTTGCCGTGAATGTTGCCGAATTCGGCGTTGTGGATGTAGCTGAGGTACTGGAACCAGCCCTCGTCATTCATGCGCGGAGCCACGTTAGCAATGCGGTCCATTCGCCAGGTGACAAACTCAGAATGTCCGACGAACGGCGATGCTGGAGCAGCCTTGGGCTGCGCTCAGCGCAAATCAGCAGCTGGCTGAGCAAAACGTGGATGAGGAGCGAAAGTATTTGCATTCCTGCCAATATAGATGCACTGTCGACAAAAATGTGGTGATCTTGTAAGCGGTGTGTTTCAAGTAGGTGGCGTAAATGTTGATGATGGTGTTTGGTATCAGAACGGCAGAGGCTAGTGGCAGGCACTTTATATGAGCCGTGGTACTCCCGCTGTCACCCTCTGACCTACAGATCCACAGTTTCGACATTCCCCACACCTCTTCATATCACATATATTGCCATATTCACAGTCTGCTTGGTCTTAGATCACGCTGTTAATATCCGCTCAGGTCTAGCATGACCGTCGGCGAGCGGCCAACACGCTATAATATTCAGCCCTGAACTGCTTGCGACCGCCCCTGAATCTAAATTAATGAGCGGCTTGTCCGAGGACATTGGCGCATCAGCCATCTTCATTGGCGCACGTGGCGATGGACACGGCCATGTCCGGTATGTAGATGATAAATACCCTGGAGTCTATTGTTCGCCTCCCATGCACCCGCAATTCCAGCTTTTCACTGATGCGGAGTTCTGGCCCGATAGATTTTTACCGGTTCTGGAGGTAAAGGCAAAAACGGACATGGAGTGTTGCAGGCAAACTTTCTTTGTAAATCAAAACACTTTCACGGGTGGTTTGCCGATACATGGCCGTGCATAAAGATCTTCGGCTTTCGCCAAGACCAGGAGCAGCACTGACGTTGTTTTGCGCAGAGCCCTCTCCACAGAAGCGTGGGATCAGCGGATACCCCAAGAAGGTTGTTTGCCTACCAACACAGCTTGTTTCCTAGTCGTGCGCTGGCTCGTATTAGCGCCAATTCGTCCGGTGTGTAAGCCCAGGAGAAATATATTGAGATGTTAAAAATGAAATGATGGTAAACGAGACTTTTGTCAGATGAGAAAACAGAAATTCGAAACTAGTATGACACGTAGGATTTAGGATAGAGCGGGGGAGAGGGGAGGGGTCATTATCTGGCCCACTGCGTACATGCAGGCAGACGGAGCCGTCAAGATAGGCACGGATTACAAAGCGTGCATCTAAATATAGGCCTGGCAAGCGATGTTTGCGAAGAGGGGGACATCGTAGATCGTTTATCTTTCGTCGGCCTGTAGCAGATCTAGGGGGACGTGGGTAGCAGTGGGGCCAAAGCGAGGCAGCAGAGATAGCAAGCACTGCAGCGTGCAGCCAGCTGGCAGCTATCTTTAGACCTTGGCGAAAGGCGACTGGTAGCCAACGTTGTTCATGTCGCGCACAAACTCCTTAGCATCGGCGTAGAACTTGTGCACATCCTCAGCAGGGAACTTGTGCATGGCGCACCAGGCAGGGGTCAGGGGATACGGGTTGGGCATCGGGTAGGCGGGGCCCTTGCCGTTGTCCAGGGCCGTACAGGGCGTTGCCCTCGGTGTCCTCGTAGGCACATAGTCCTCCGAGTAGAGAGCAGACTCCTCAGCCGAGTTGTACACATCCGAAGCCTCAGCCGACGGGAGGGCAACATAGGAGCCGGACTCGCTGGCCTCGGCCGACTCAGACCCAGAGGCCTCGGCGCTCGGCAGGGGGACGGCGCTGTACTCAGGGCCGGTGGTGGTGCCGTTGTTGGACGGGTTGGCAGTGTAGGTCGGGAACCACTTGTTCAGGACAGAGGCAGGCAGCTTCTGGGCGACGTAGGTCTCAACAAACTTGTCGGCGTTGACAGTCATGTTCTGGAAGTTCTCAAAGACGCCGTTGACCAGAGGAGGAACGTAGGCCTTGACCGGGGTGGTGACCGGGCGCGGGATGCACTTCTTGGGGGCAGTGGCCGAGTACACGGCGTTGCGCTTGTCGAGCGAACGGCGCCTGTTCGAGACAGAGCCGACGTTGTCGTACGAGAAGCACATCTTGTTGTAGCCGAGCTGCATGAACGGTCCAGATGGGCTCGTTGTAGGCGATGACGTTGCTCGGAGAGGGAGAGCGGCTTGTTGGCGGTGTCGACGCCGTCCATGGTCCAGATGCGGTTGGATCCCTGCCACACGCTCCAGAGGCGGTCAATGTTGGCGTGGTGCAGCCAGAAGATGAAGTCGTTCGGGCTGTGCATCTGCACCATGTCACCGCCGACAGCCAGATGGATGGCGCCGTGGAGCGAGTACTCGATACCAGCGCGGATCTGAGCCATGGTGCTGGAGCGCGACAGGACCGACTGGATATACTCGGGCGAGTACCAGGCGTTGATGCGGTTGCCGTTGTTGAACTGGCGCGCGAAGCAGTGGTTGCTCGGGTAGGACATCTGCCAGTTGGCCTGCATGCCGTTGGTGACACAGTGGTTTGCGCCTTGGCCGTTGCCGCCAAAGTAGTTGCTGGTGAAAATGGCCGACGCCGCCGGGTTGGCGTAGTCGCGGAGCTCGTCCCAGTAGGGCAGCACAAACGCAGGGTTGATCCGGCGACCAACAGACTCAAAGTCGTGCACGAATCTAGCGAGGCAGACAAATTGAAATCAAATTAGGTGCGGGGAACGGTTCATACATGCATGTCACATCCTTTTCTGTTTGTGTACATTGTGCCTCGATGCGTGGATGTGCGCACAATCACTTACCTGCGGTGGAAGGGGAGGAAGTGCTCGCAGTTGTGGATCGTTCCAAAGTTGTTCGAGTGCAGGTAGGCGAACCAGCCCATCCAGCCCGCGTTCTGCATGGCAGTGATGGTCGACTTCACAGTGTTGAGCTCTGAAGGAGACAGGTTGCGGACCTCCTTGCGGACCCACTGCGACGAGCAGCGGACGGACTGGCCGTCAACAGACAGGCGACCAGGGCAGCAACAGCAACGAAGGCGGTGGTAATCTTCATAATGTAAAGCGCAAGAGTGATATTGGCTAGCAATATCGGCAAATGGAATGAATGAAAGAGAGGAGCACCAAGCACGGAGGCAGGGAGAGAGGGGTTTAGGAGTCGAGAAAGGGAGAGAGAGGAGCTTTTGGTGCTGTCGTTAGGGTGGTGTGGTTTCTTGTCCTTCTAAAAAGGTAGGTTGGACAAAAAGCACAGAGCGAAAGGGGTTGGAAAGAAAAGAAAAAATAGATTTGTAGAGACAGGAAAATACGCACCCTCCTGGCTCGCAAAGGGCAGCGTTATATAGCCGCCCCTTCTGTGCCCTGCGAATGCGGGTGCTCCCTTGCTCGCAAATAAAAGCGACGGACGTGCAGCCTGATTTCCGGCTCCAAAAATAAACGTCCTGGGCTGCATACGTCCGGCCTGCAGCCCGTAGCGGTCTGGGGGTCAGGGCTGTGCAGGCCAGCCAGCGCCGAGGGCACGCCAAATTGCTCAGCATCGATTTTGCATTCCTACGCCCATTGTGGTGGGTATAATGTCCAATCGTCCGGCGCGCGGAATCGGGCGTGTTTGTTTTCGCACATTATATATAGAGCGTGTTGAGTGAGAGGTCGAGATCGACGCCTTGCAATGATTTGCCATAGTTCAAAATCCAGCTGCCTGTCTGCTTGCTCGCCGAGCTGTCTGGCAGCCAGCATATGCACGAGCAGGCAGTTGGAGAAGGGCGATCGCCGGCACATCCATGGCCCGAAAAAGCTCTCAAATTCCTTCCCCTTTTTCTGCTCTCAGAGCCACTTGGAGGCTGAGGCATTTTCCAATGGAACGTTGCACGGTGTCTAACTTTGTGCGATGCCGACCAGATGCTCACAGTCGCCATGACGCCAGTCACCGCTGGCGCGCCTAGGTCGCGATGCAGCGTCTGTGGTTTGCCATGTCGGTCGCAGCCGGCCAGTATCAAGGAGGGGTAACCGGCTTCGCAATCGGCCCTTCCATCTTTGGGAGCACGTCGCACACACCTCTCAGAGCGGTGCGATCGTCCTGGGAGGGATTCTGTGTCTGGGGACATTCATGTTCGCCACCAGTTCTCGGCTGCCGCCTGTGCTGCTTTGTGGTGCTAGTGCGCATATCTCCAATTGATGCCAATAGCTGCCACGCAATGTAAAATGGGTGATAATATACCATTGCAACAATCCGATAATAACAGTGCACTTATTTTTAAATGGAACCACACGCGCACGGGTGGCACAACAATCGGCCGCCGGCCTCACACCTATTTTTGGGCCGGAAGCCTTGTGCATATGCAGCGGCATTCATACATGTCCGGGAAAAGACATTCTTTCAATTCCAAATCCACTTCAACTCCGAAGCAGACAATGCACTCTGTAAACGCGAGGACCGTCACACGGACCACGCGGTCTGATTATTGCAGGGATGCATGGAACTCAGCAGGAGGATGGAGGCTCACACTGGCGCCAGAAAAAGGATGCTCATATTCACAGACAATACGGGTTTCTACATCGAAATGCAGGCGCCATAGACTATCGCAGAAATGTATTGTTTCATCGGCAAACGTGGCATCGTCTACTTGAGCGGAACGTACTGAGCGTCCTGAAGGTCCTGCACAAACTGGCGGGCCTTCTCATTGTAGCGCCTCACCTCAGCCGCATCAAACTTGTGCATCTTTGCCCACCTGTTGCCCAGAGTCGGCGGGGCAGGGATGGCAGCAACAGCCTTGTTGGCAATGTTGTGGGCCTTTCTGGGGGCGCTTGAGACCTGTAACCTTGTTGTTTGCAATGTCCTTGCCCAGGCCAGCCATCTTTGGGAACCACCTGTCCAGCACGTTGGGCGGCAAGGTGGTGACGACGTTCTGAGCAGACTTGTGGAGGCTCTTGCTGAGACCCTTGGTGATGCCCTTGAAGGCATCCTTGAAGAACTGGTCAACTTCCTCGAGGCCGTCCTTGATATCTTCGTTAAGCTGCTGCACGCCCGCTGCGACATCGGATGCGACGCCACGGAAAAAGTCGTCAATGTCAGGCTTGTTGGTCTTGGCCGGGTGGACAATGCGCTTAGTCTTCTTGCTGTCATCACTATCCTCCCCGTTATTCTTCTTGCCGTTGCTGCTGTTGCTCTTGTCCTTGGCCACGGCCGACTGAGCGACAGCAGAAGCTTGAGACGGCAGGTTACGGTCCTCAGGAAGGTTGGTGTCGTAGTAATAGCAGGCGCTTCCATGGCCCAGCTGCATCACCGAGCTGACGGGCTCGTTGTACGCGAGAATCTGCGAGTCAATAGTCATATTTGCACCCTTGTTGTCGACACCGTCCATGACCCAGGTGTTGCCGTTGTCCTGCCACTGGTCCCACAGGCGGTCCATATTGGCATGGTGAACCATGAAGGCAAAGTCGTTCGGGCTCCACTGCTCAATCATGTCGCCACCGAGGCCCAGGTGCACAGCGCCGTGCAGACTCATCTCCATGTCAGGGCGGAACTGTGCCATGGTGGTGTCGCGCTGGATGATGGACAGAATGTACTCGGGCGCATACCACGAGTTGATAATGCCATCTCCCTTGTCGAATTTGCGCACCAGGCAGTGCGTGTTCGGGTAGCCGACATTGATATTGGCCAAGAAGCCATCCGAAACACAGCCGTTGGCGCCCTGGCCATTGCCGCCAATGTACTTGTTGGTCAGGACCTCTGAGGTCTGCGGTGCACGGTAGTCGCTGACGGTATCCCAGTACGGCAGATAGAAGCTGGAGCTGTAGCGCTGGGCAATCTGCTCGTAGTCGATGGTGAAGCGGCGGTGGAACGGGAAGAACTGCGAGTTGCCATGGATGGTGTTGAAGTTCTGGGTGTGCACGTACGCAAACCATCTGCCCCAGCCGTCGCGGTTCATTGCGAGCACAACGCTCGAGACAACGCTCCACTCAGCGTCAGTGAGGCTACGAATCTCCTTGCGCACGCCAGCAGTGGTGCAGGCAGCTGGCTTTAGGGAGTTATCTGGCTTTGGAGAGCCCTGTGCAGCGGCCAACAGACCCGAGGCAAGAGCCACCACAGCAAAGGAAGCGAGCTTCATTTCTATGTAATAAAAGGTAATAGTCAGAGTCGTAAATGTAATGAAATATTGGAAAGTTTGGCCAAATATCCTGGTATTTAGACAACCGCGAGGTGGTATCAACTGAATAACAGGACGGGCAAAGGGAAGGGGAAGGGGAAGGGGAAGGGAGGGAAATAGAGGGGGGTAAAAATAGGAGTCGGAAGAATAGACAGGGGTATTCGAGGTGGTTTAAAAAGGACGAAGAGGGCAAAGTCTCGAGGTCCGTCACCTCTAGCTTCTCGGTAGGCAGACTGGCGCACCTTCCTTTGCCGAACGCGAGAGACGTCAACATTGGAGATCGCTACCAATACGTCAATAACATGAGCAGGGTAGATCGCTTTTGAATTGCAGTGGAGACTTTCTCAACAGCAACAAACATTAGTAGAGCCGAGGACTAGGAAGCGAAGCAAGCTGCGGGAATTAGCAAGCTGACGGCCCTGCGCAACTGGTGCGGACTGGCTTTTGTTTCGGCACTCAGGATGCTGGACTGCCAGAGAAATGCAAAGATGCAGCGGTCTTTGCGCATGTCAGTGGTGACATGACGTCTTCTTGATGGATGCTTCCATTATTAGGGCGATTAGCTGTTATTGGTGGGTAAATACTCAAACCAATTTCACATCGATCTTCGAGTTGGATGTCTTGGCAGAGAAGCCATGCGGCCCATTTCCGACCATGACGCGCTTGTAGCTCTTGTCCGACACAATATGCTGCAGCTCTGGCGGCTGTGCGTATTGGCTGGCCAGCTGCACATTGGCCTTGTCGTTACTTGTCCGGGCATCGATTATGCCGCGGAAGCTCTCAGCAGGCAAAAATGCCTCAATCTTGCTGTTCGACGTCGAGAAGCGAATCTGGGCCGGCGCCTTCGCATCAGCCAGCTGGATAGTGCCGGAGATCCGGCTGTTGGTTGTGTACACATCCAGGGCGCTCTTAACTTCCCACATGCCCTCCACCTTGGCATTGGTCGTGCTGATATGAAGTGAGTCTGCGCGAATTCCGTCGGTGGTGATAGACGAGTTTGTCGTCTTCATGTCGACGCTCCCAGCGCGCACATTGCGGCTCTTTATCGAGCTGTTCTTGGTCTCTACCTTGAGGCTGTCAGCGGTGACGTCGCTCAGACTGACCCCTTGGTTGGAAGTGGCAACAGTGATTGCAGGCGCAACAACCTGGTCTAGCTCGATCTTGGCGTTGGTTGTGCGCAAATTCAGAACCTCGCTCGATTTGACATTGCTAAGCCGGAGCGAGCCGTTGGTAGTGGCGAGCTGGATGTCACGACCCGATATGTTGGTTACTGATGCGCTGCTGTTGGTTGTCTTCAGGTTGAGCCGCGTGAAGCCAATGTTGCTGAGTGCGGCTATATCAAAGCGGCCGTTGGTGATGTCGGCACGGATACCTGGGTGGGCGCGTACAATGGTCGACGGCGCCCGCACAAAGATGCGACACATGACCGGGAGCATGTTCCAAAAGGTCCATCCGACGTTGACATGGAAGTCGTACTCGTTGTACTCATTGAGGTGCACCTGGAACTCTGCTCTCTCCTCTAGCTTTCCCTGCATCGCACTCACCTCAGCCGACACAAACATCGTGCCCTGGTTGTCGGGGTTTGGGTCGGGCTCGATCAAAAGGTCGGTCTTTGCCACACCCGTGGTGTGTATAAACAGCGGGCGCTCAAAATCGAAGCCCTTGGTTGCAACCATCTCGTATGAGCTCTTTTGGTCCACCTTCAGGTTGGTCTGGCTGCCAGGCACAAACGGTGGCGGCAGCGGCTGCTGTGCGCCAGCAGGTGCATTGGGGTCGACTTCTGAGTAGGCTGGCGGCAGTTCACTCGCCTGAGGCATCTGGCTCAGCGGCGGGGCCGATGGACCAGCAGCGGCCACGGCAGAGGTCTCCATAGGCACCGCGCTCTTGCTGTCGTGTCCGAACGAGGGCTTTTTCTCAAACATTGCGCAACTTGAAGAGTTGAAATTCAGAGTATTGGGATAGTAGACAGGGCGAGGTGGTAAATTATGCAGTGTGGTGGGGGTCAGTAGAGGAGAGGTGATGTGGGCGGCTGCCCGATTTATTGTCCTGTGGTGGATGCCAAGCACCCGCCTGTCCATGACACGAGCGGCAGTGGAGGGTTGCTGCACAGGGCGCAGATAAATCAAGCAAATGCCAAGCACATACATTCTGCACAGATCCGCCAAGTGTTCTGGCATATTAGGTGTGTAATGAGGTAAAGGTGCTCAAGCAAGCTTTATATCAATCTTGGAGTTCGTGGTGGTTGCGGCAAAGTCGTGCACGCCGCTGCCAACCATTACCCGCTTGTAGGGCTTGTCGTCGACCAGCTTGTGGAGCTCAGGCACGACCCGGAGCTTCTTCTTCTTCACCTCAACCGACACTGACGAGTCGACGGTCCGCGCATCGACGATGCCGCGGAAGCTGTTGCCAGGCAGTGTGACGTTGATGCGGGCATCGGTGGTGCTAAATCTCATCTTGACCGGCAGGTGGGGCTCGGTCAGCTCGACGGATCCCTCGATGCGTCTCTTGGTTGTGCTGACATCGAGCATGTCCCTGACTGTCCACTTGCCCTCAATCCGCGAGTCGCTGGTGGCGATGCGCAGCGAATTGGCCTTGATACCGTTGACATCAATGGTGGCCCCGTTGGTCTTGAAGAAGGCAGTGCCGGCGTTGACGTTCTGCGTCTTGATGTTACTGCTGGATGTCTCGGCGGTGATGCTGCCGGCAGTGATGTTGGTCATCGACACAGCACCCTTGGTTGTAATGGCAAATATGGTGCCGGCAGCCAGGTTCTCAAAAGCCAGCGTGTCGGCCACCGTGTGGGCCTTTAGGACATCGGTGATTTTGGAATTGCTCACATCGATTTTGGCACTGCCTGTAACCAGCAGCGCCGACCGGCAGGTGATGTTTGACAGGGAGATTTCACAGAGATTCGAGTACAGCCGAAGGTACTCAAAATCGATATTGCTGACTGCGGTCATCTCAATGCGTCCGCACGGCGTCTCAGCACGGATCCCTGGGTGAGGACGCACCACGGTCGGCGGCATGTACACGGTGATCTGGCACTGCGGCGGTTTGCTCCAAAACGTCCCGCTGGTGCTGACCCAAAAGTCGAACTCGCCGCTCTTATTTACTTGCACAGCAACATTGACTCTGTCCTGGATCCCCGACGACTTTCCTACCAGGTGGGCAGCCACACGGACGCTGTCCTGGTTCGCCAGCTCTGTGTCTGCGATAATGGTCAGGTTGGCTTTCGACTCCAGGGTCGAGTGGATAAAGATGGGCCGCGAAAAGTCAAACACGTGGGTGGCCAGCAGCTCCTTGGGGCTCCTGAGCTCGATTTCAGTACCGTCCAGCACTGTCGACCACGCATCGGTGATGTGAGTTGAGGACGGTGCCAATGTCGGCCCTGGTGTGTTGCTCGGGGAGATAGACACTGGCATTGAGCGGGTGGATGTGGAGCGCTGCGGCAGAGGCGGCACCAGCGGGGACATGGTAGCTGTACGGTGGGGCAACGCAGGTGGTGCCATGGTGGATTCAGCAGCAGTGCTGCTCCGCGAGATGGTATGGGGCATGTAGAACAGGGGGGCTGTGTTGCGCTGAGGAAGCATCGGCGGCCCGGCCGCAGCAGCGTGGGACTGGGGGTCATGTTCTGTGTACGCTGGCGGGAGCTCTCTGCTTGGTCCCGCCATATCCCTGTAGTCGTGGCCCATCGCTCCGTCTGTGCCTAGTGTGGGTTCGTCGTAGGGGTGCGCGCTTTGCTTGCTGTCTACGCCGAAAAACGAGTCCTTGGGTGATGGCATCATGGCATGCGTATAAATGAAGAAGCAGCGGAGGTAAGGGGAGGTGGAAGAGATGCTCAAAGCAAGGCGCCTGCTGACAGGCGTCGTGCAGAAACGGAGTGGGGTTAAATATGTTGTGATTCGCATCGAGTTTGACCGGGCCAAGAGGTGGCTCCCACGTCGCCAAGATAAGCGCAAATGTCCGCCCCGCATCAAGCGTATGCGCTGCCAAGGGAAGCAGCATGTCGCTGGAGAGGGGCCGATTATCGCTGTGGCAAATACAGTCAAGGGACACGCAGGGCTTGGCGAAAATTGGGGAAAGCGATTTCTTCAGCAATGGTACAGTCTAAAAATACATGCAGGATCGGAGGAGAAAGAGCCCAAAGACGCAATGCACCCTTTGGTCGACTAGAGCGTGGTGATCACAACAGGCGAGTTGGTGCTCTCGACCTCGAGCACATTGGCAGCAATGCCGATGACGCCTTGGCGCCAGTACTGGTGGCACTCGTAGAATGTCGCACCGGCAAGCCCAAAGTTGACGATGCTGTTGGCAGAGCGGATGTCAAAGTAGCCGGTATAGTCGTCGCTGACCGCCAGCCGCACCGGCCACCTGCTGGTCCTTATCCGGACCCGCGCGTCGTCGCCAGCCACTGTCAATCGGCCTTGCACGATCGCCGCTTCTGCCTCGATGGTCAGCGCCTTGGACACGGTCCAGCTGCCGCGCACAGGCGCATGCGACGACTCCACTGCAATGGTCGCCGCTGTCACGTCCTCCAGGGTCACCGGCCCATCAGTGGTCTGCACCGAGACTTTGTCAGCTGCGGTGGCCCGGACCACCAGTGTCGAGCTCTTGGCTGAAATCGACATGGTCGTGGTTTTCGCATTGCTGATCTCCAGTCTGCCCTCGGGCGCGTTAATGCGGATTCCCTGGCCGGCGGTGCACTCGGCTATGGTATGCTCGCCCTTGATTGCTATGAACTCTGCGCGGTCCTGGACGCTAATGCGCTCGATATCTAGCCGGCCATCGGCCACTGCCAAGCGCAGGCTGTGCAGGGACATGTCTCGTAGGCGGGCCACGCACGCCACCGCTGCGAGGTCGAGCCGCGCCAACTGCGTACAAGTGATTCCCGAGGCCGACAGGTGCGAGTTGGCAGGCAGTCTCAAGCGAATTGCCGGCACCGTGGCCGAGCTGGGAACCACAATTCTGCACTCAGCCTTGACCAGACAAGCAGCCGGGGCGTTGCCAAGACCAAATTCCAGAATGCGCTCATCTGGCTTGGTAATCAGCTTGGATGCCGCACTGGACCGCACATGCAGGCTCCTGGGCTGCCTCAAACCGGCTGTCAATGAACAGGTAGCCGCCATACCTGTTCTCCTCGTCCGCAACCAGCAATACACGGGTCTGCGCGAAGCCCTCGAATGTCAGCTGCGTGCTGTGCGTGGGGTCCAGGACCTGGGTGGCACGGGTCAATGGCCCGTTGGCAGTTACGTGGAGCTCGGTGGGCTCGACCACTGAGCGCACGCTGCTACTGCCCGAGACAGGGCGCCGGATTTGCAGTGAGTTTGTGTCGCTGGGGACGGTGAGGTCGTCGCCAAGGAACGTCGGCTGGAACGGCGTGTACGGCGGCAGCTCCTCGTCTACCAGCAGCGCATGCACCACCACCTGGGTGTCTTCGAAATTCATGGTGTGAAATGCAGACAACAGTAGTAATGAGCCAAGGAAAAGTTCTGAGAGAGGGAGAGAATGTCAGGGGGACGAGAGAGGAGTCTGGTCGGGGCCCAGCCAAACATCGTATTTATTCTTGTGCCAAGATGGCACCAGAGTGGTTTGAATAGAGCTGCATTCCTTCTAGAACTCCAGCGGTAGTGCGGCTAGGTTAGGCGGCGGCCGAGGCCGATACGGGAACAGGTGTGGGCAATAATGAGGAATGTATTGAACAGGGGATAAGGAGCAGAAAAAGAGAGCCCGGCAACGGCTCCAGCCGCCACGCACAGACCAGAGCAGGATCACGGCTTTGCGCCATCGGGCTTGTAGCGCACATTATCAGGTCCACACCCGCAGTCGTAGTTGTCGTGGACGGTGGCACAGTCGAACTGCGGCTTCTTCAGCACCTTGTTGACTGTGTTGTGCATTCGACACAGGTACTGCTCGAGCTCGTCGCGCGACGACGCCACCGGCGGGTGCTTCTTCAGGTGCTGCTGGAAGTGGTGGGCGCAGTCGCCGCACGGATACAGGCGCGACATCAGGAACAGAAAGTTCTTCATTGCGCTGACCTCGTCCTTGGTCGGCTCGGTCGGGTACCGGGACGCCATCACATGCAAAAGATACCACGTCCGCCGCCCCAGCTGCGCCCGCAACGTCTCGTTGCCCAGCTTGCCCATCACCACGTGGCTGTCGCCGGCCCACAGGCTGTCGAAGCCGTCGTTGGAGCCGCCAAACAGGTTCGGGAAGAACCCGCCGCTGTCTGCTGACGCATCGCGCTCATTCGCCAAGTTTGTTATGTCGCGGTTCTGGAATTCGTCGCGGTAGGTGTACACAGTTAGCGATATGAGGGCCACGCACGCCAGCGCCAGCGTCAGTAGCAGGGATTTTATTTTGAACATTTGAACGGAATGCAGGCAGCAAGGAGAGGGGGCAGAAAGAACAAGGAGGTGCAGTGGTTGCTGGAAAGCGGCCAAGTGTGGGGAGACTAACAAAAACGAGAGGCTGGAATCAGCTGACTCAGAAGGCAGTGAAACTGCCGAAAGCGTTGGCAGTTCTGGATACAACCGCCAGCACACGAAATTACCGGGGTTCTCCAGAGCAGCCCACAGGCAAAACACATCTTGCAGAAACACATGCCGTTGCAGACAGCGACACTCGGCGATCTGAGCTGGGGCAGCCTGCGGTGGATCGGCCTGGTTGGCCGGCATCTCACAGGCCAAGAGGTTTATTGAATCACAGCCAACCTATCTTCAGAGGGGCGACGTCTCGCGCTTGAGCCACTCGTAGCCCAGGCTGCCCTCCTCGAGCAGCGGGCTGACCTTCTGCCAGACCTTGTCGTGGTAGGCATCAAGCCACTTGATCTCGTCGGGAGTGAGCAGACCGGCCTGGATCAGCTTCTTCTGGATGGGCACCATGGTGACCGGCTCGAACGTCAGGAAGCCTTGGCCGTTGGAGTAGTCGAACTTTGTCTCGGTGCGCACAACCAGGCAGGTGTTCTCAATGCGGATACCAAAGCTGCCGTCCTCGTAGTAGCCGGGCTCGTTGGTGATGGTCATGCCGTGCTGGAAGCCAGCGCTCAGGTACGCATCGCGCATGCCGACGCCCTGCGGGCCCTCGTGGACGTTGAGGAACGATCCGACGCCGTGGCCAGTGCCGTGGCGGAAGTCCAGACCCAGCTCCCACAGCGGCAGGCGCGCCAGCGGATCCAGCGCATAGCCGTTGGTACCCGACGGGAACACAGCGCGGTCCAGCGCAATGTGGCCCTTAAGCACACGCGTGAAGCACTCGCGCTCCCAGGCAGTGGGGGTACCAAAGTGCATGGTACGCGTGACGTCGGTGGTACCATCCAGGTACTGGCCTCCCGAGTCGCACAGGTACATCTTGTTGATGTCCAGCAGCGCCTCGGAGCCGCGCTTGGGCGAATAGTGGATGATGGCGCCGTTGGCGCCCACCGACGAGATGGTGTCAAAGCTCAGACCAACGCAGTCCTTCTGGGCCCGCCGCAGCGACTCAAGCTTGTCGGCCACGTCGACCTCCGACAGCCGCAGGTGGCCGCCGTTGAACACAAGCTCGTGTTCCAGCCAACCAAAGTAGTTGGCCATGGCAGCTCCATCGCGCACGTGGCTCTGACGCATACCCTCCAGCTCCACCGGGTTCTTCAGGGCCTTGAGCAGTGTCACCGGCGACTTGTCGACCTTGACACTGTCCTCACCCAGCGCCTGCACCAGCGCCCAGCTGGCCGTCTCGCCTGCCAGCAGCTTGCGCTTGTCGGCCGCCAGCGACGCCGCCATGGCTGACAGCTCACCAAAGATCGCCTGGTACGGCTTGATCGTGACACCCTGCAGGTGCTGCCGCACGCTGTCGTCCAGCTTGCAGTCGTCGATGAACAGCGTGACGTCTGTCTTGGTCACCAGCGCGTAAGCAAAGAACACCGGGTTGTAAGCGATGTCGCTGCCGCGCAGGTTGAACAGCCATGCGATCTCGTCCAGTGCTGCCACAACCAGCCCGTCGACGCCCAGCTTGTCCAACTCGGCCCGCACACGCTGCACCTTGTCGGCACGGGCCTCGCCCGAGTACTGGATGTCATGCACAAATGCCTTGTTGGTGGACCGGGCAGGGCGGTCGTTGCCCCACACAATGTCCACCAGGTTGTCGGGGATTGCCACCAGATCTCCCGAACCGTTCTTGTTCAGCGCTGCCTTCAGCTCATTGCCCGTGGCTGCCGACAGCAGCGTCGGGTCGATTCCCACGCGCGTGCCCGCCGGCAGGTGGCTGGTCAGGTATTCCTCCCATGTCGGCACTCCCGGCAGCCCGCGCTTCATCAGGGTCCAGTTGTCGTCCATCTGCTGCCGCGCCTGCAAAAAGTACCGCCCGTCAGTGAACATCGCTGCCTTGTCCATCGTCACAACAGCGCATCCCGCCGACCCGTCGAATCCCGAAATGAACCCGCGCCGCTCATCACACGTCCCCACATACTCGCTCTACCATAAGGTGAATGCGTGGGAACAAAATCAATGCAAGTTGTTATAAAGTGGTACCCGGTCAGTCCGGTTTTGTCCTGGGAAAACCGTTGCGCCGTGCAAATCCCACTAATGATGCCCAGTCCCCCGGCACCCACTTCCGCAAAGGTTATGCTATTTCCCATGCCCACCCGCTGATGCGTGGGAACGCTTTCCCTTCAAACCAGGGACCAAGCCTGATCATAGGCGTTTCTGAATGCTTACCTGGTGCGCGTCTCCACTGGGCACAACATACGCCGTGACGTTGTACTTGGGATCCGCCATCAGCTCCCGCAGGTGCTTGAGCCGCTCGCCGG